GCCTCAAACAAGGGTTTAGGGTTTAGGGTTTAGGGTTTAGGGTTTAGGGTTTAGGGTTTAGGGTTTAGGGTTTAGGGTTTAGGGTTTAGGGTTTAGGGTTTAGGGTTTAGGGACCTCTGGCCCAGGCATGAGCCCACCTATCCAGACGGACTTTCGGGCGTCTGGGGGCCCAGCACCAGTTGTTGAGTAGTTCTGGCTCGGACGGACTCCGATCTCTGAAAGTGTGGAGGCACCGAAACGGCTCTACGTGAACCCTTAGGCCCGATGCAATCCCCTAAACGCTAGCCAGTCGGAAGCAGGTCCAAACAAGGGGAGCCTAAACCCGGAGATGTGAAGCTTGCAGAGTCCCAAAGGGCTGAACTCCCCAAGATCTGCTTTGGGGTTCAGGGTTTGGGCAAGCTTTTTGTTTGGGGTATGTGTTTCAGGGATTTGGGGTCTTGCTCATTTCGGGATCGTATACCCTGTTCCCTTGCCAAGTTCTGAACACATGAACTCTACACTTCACAAGAGGTACAAGGGCTTCACTGCCTACAATATCTCCAAGTTCGGCATGACGATGGCTCGGAGCTCATCCACTCCACACCTTGGATGTGGTACATCTCGGTTCGATTGGCTTCGGTTGAAGTTTTGAAGAAGCGGCCGAAAACGCGCAGTTCCAGTATGCCCAGGCAGGGGAGTTCATAGGAGTCAGACTCCAGCGTTGTCAGGCCAGCAAGAAAGTGCATGCCAGATCTCATGATCACGTCAGCTCGAATGCCGCAGCGTTTGTTGCCAAGCCTGGAGACAGGAGGACCCTAATCCCGAAACCTATGTTCTGCACCGGATGTCTGCCGGCAAGGGCATCTGAGCACTTGAGGGGCCCTGAGCTACTGGCACTGGCACCTGAGCCACCGACTGCCCCCGACCTGAGTCCGCTGGCGCCCTTCCAATGTCCGATTCTTAGTGTTCTCGCCCTCGCGCTAAACCCTGAACCTTATCCCTTTGAGCCGCACTGTAAGGGAAATGACAGCAAAGCATTATTTCCCCATGAAGAGCAGTAAGGTCCTATTTGCTTTGAGTCCTTCGCTTGGCAGTCTGAGAACGTGATAACAGTCCCATGCCCACGTGCACATCGTTTCTGCCGATTGTGCTTGACCCAGCACGCAGCTGCACAGCGTTTTCCTCGCTGTCCCGGGGAGGGTTGCAGGCAAAGGCTTTCCTCGAATCATGTCGGTTTTGTTAAGCCAACAACTCCCCCTGACCTCTAAGCCCTGCCCTATAATCCCTTAAGCCTTGAATCGAATCGGTTTCTATACTCCCCCTAAGCCCTATCGACCCTCCCTATACACCCTTCAGCCCTGGAACCCATGGAAGCAAGAGCAGGCATGAGCTGTCGGACGAGGAGCTCGTTGATATTTGTGGCGACTTGGACCAAGCTGCAAGCTCCTTGTTGGGTTGTCCGCAGAGTTTATAAGGGAGTTCATAAAGGTCTAACTAGTGTTTAGGGTTTAGAGTTTAGGATGTTTCTTCTGTTGTGGCTTGGGTATAGCAGCTGTTGAGGGAGTCCAGAAGCAGCCAAGGTGAAGACTCCGTGACTGTTCTAAGCTTCCGCGAAGAGCTGCTATTGAAAGCTGTGTTTGGCCTCGGGGATGCGGTCCATTGCCCAAATCCCTGCTGCAGGTCCATCTTAAGCGGCTCGGACATACTGGACTAGGACCTCTTTGTTTCAAGCGTGGAAGTTTCGGGGGGCCTGAGGTCTCGAGGCAGCATACTGTCGGACTCTATCAGAGGTGTGGGGGCGATGAGGGCTTTTGATGTATGTATGCATGCATACTAATACAGACGCAATATTACATACCACAAACCACAAACTCTTCTACACCAGTCTCATTTGCAAGTATGCAGTTGATGTGATGGCAGAGACCAGCAAGGTGTGGAGCCCGGAAGTGGCAGGCAGCGTGTGGAATGTTGTAACTGGCCTGCATGGTGTACTCAGTGTCGGCAGCCCTATCACTATGCGGTGGACTGCCGAGATGTGCAAGCTCTCCGTGACCAGTGGCTACAGTGGGTGTCCCACGGGCGCACAGTGTACAACGAAACGAGAGCTCAACACGCAGAGTTCGAACGTCAGAAGCAAGCACTAGAGGAGGCGGCTGCGCGCCATGCTGAGTTGAAACATGATGAGGAGTGGAAGCAGGCGAACTGTCGAGAGTGTCCCCGATGCCGACGCGTTGTCCAAAAGATCGATGCTAGCTTGAAGCCTCCCTTTTTTGCCCGAGAGGTAAAGTCACTATCTGTAGTATCGACCAACACAGCTGACCCACTTCCTAGTTCCTCTAACCCTGCGACCCAGGACGGTTGCAACAGCATGGTCTGCGGTGAAGATACCCATGGCGGCAACCGCCAGCAGGGTTGTGGGCATCGCTTCCAGTGGGATAAAGCGCGCGCATACCAAGCAGCTCCCGACTCGCGGCCCCTGCCTAGGCTGGATGTACAAGATGTGAAAGTTCGAGGAGCCGGAATTCGGCATCCATTTTGCCGATGCTCGAGATGTCACCAGGACATTGTGGGGCCACGTTTCCGATGTATCCACTGCCCCGACTACAACCTCTGCGCCAGCTGCGACAGCGATGCCACCGTAGCGCAGGACCACCCTGCCTCACATGTCTTCCAGATCCTCTTTCAGCCGGAGTATGATCTCCGAGCACATCTGCCGGTGCCTGGGACTACTTGGAGACTATATTATACTACCTTATATTAAAGTAGTTTATAATATTATATTATATTATATTATATTATATTATATTATATTATATTTTATTATATTACATTTAATTTCATTATATTACATTTTATTTTATTATATTATATTATATTATATTATATTATAACATATTATATTGTATTATATTATATTATATTATATTATATTATATTACATTTAATTTCATTATATTACATTTTATTTTATTATATTATATTATATTATATTCTATTATATTATATTATATTATATTATATTATATATAATATTATATTATATTATATTATATTATATTATATTATATTATATTATAGTATAGTATATTATGTTATATTATATTATA